GACACGCGCACCAACATTGACGTGGTCACCACGGGGAAGAGCTACTCGAAGACAGCGGATACGTCAGCTTTTTGTTGCATCCAGGAGCAAATATTGTAGTTCCTGGTGCCGTAGATACGGGTCAAAGTTAGATAAATCATGTATATCTCGGTGCATGAAGACAGACGTCCACTTTCGTGAACGTAAACAGAGGCCTGATTTATTTATTACAACAAGACTGATTGATGTAAATGATACGTGTTAAGATTATATTGTAGGTGGAAATAGAATGTTGGTGTTACTCTTGCAAGCAGTTGTTTCCTCGAGCAGGCCGAGGTTGAGGGTGAGGGACAAATTGTACATACAGAGGAGCTGCTGACACGAAACCTTCGAGCGACCTAGATTAAAAGTCCCCTCGAAAGAGTTTTAAAAGTCAAAGAAAATATAATATTTGTTATAATATAATGGGCGAGGTGGGAGATGTGTTTTATATGTATACAATATCGTTTGCTAGTCTTCATTTATTTTTTAACGAATTTCTTAGAATATACAAGGTTTTTTTGTTGTTGTTAATATACATTGTTTTTAAAAGTCAAAAATGTTATTTGTCTTCACTGTTGAATGATCTCCTGTGTTATTATATTTGACTTATGTTTATAATTGTTTGCACAAGTATTGATACAGGAAGATGAGTGTCGCGCGACAACACTAACTTATAATTAAAACAACACTTGTTATATATTCAATTTATTTACAATACATAAAGAAACACAACGAAACAAAAACATTATTTTATAAATTTGCTAATTTATTTACTTATTTCAGTAGAATAACTTTCGGTAGTAGATGGTGTCTTTAAAACATTTTCATATGATTTTCATAGTAAAGCTATCGCCTGAAAGTGGTGGAAAATAACATCGACGTAATAAAACTACGTGGAAATGTTATTTCATATGAGAAAATGAGTCGCGCTATCACAATATGTCTTTGGCAGAACTTTACACTTTAATACTCTTCCAAAGTAAAGAAAAAAATATAAATAAATAAGCATATTAACAAAAACTATGTAACATTAATACATATGTAGTCATCTGAATGACATTTTTAAATTGAAGTGCGAATGTAACATGTTGGTCCTGCGAGTCGGATACACACAATCACTGA